TTATTGTAGTCCACTGTTCTATCCGTTGTAATAGGTCTATCCCAGTACAGTACAGCTCTGCCATGTTCGAGTACAGCCGAGCGCTGGTATTTATAATACGGTTGGTATGTTTCTAGAAGGCCATACATTAAGGCTAGTGGATAATTTTAGCAAGTTGGTTATGACGGTCCAAATATGCGCTCTCCGCGAGAACAGGGCACCCGGCGATAATATGTTCGATTGATTCTCCAACTGAGTCACATTTTCTGCAGTTGTCCTCCACGTTGAGTTTGAGACAGTGTTTTTCATAATTGCGGGTTCTCATGACTCTGTCTTGAATAGCCATAATAAAGCCTTCAGTCTCGGGATATAGATGTCCGGCATTCAATCAAGCCAGCGAGGCGGCGACCTTATCAATGTGATCTGCATCCAGACTTCTAGGGAATTTTCCATGTAGAGTTTGTTGTCTCCACAAAGTTTAGTTTTCCTGTCTCGTGTTCAGATCAAACATGATTTCTCGGTGCTGCAAATTAAGTGGCGTGAATCCTTTGTCCTCCTCGGCGATCAAATGTATTAAGCGGTCCTGAGAGTCTAGAAGTCGTTGTCTTAGGTTCATTTCTTGCGTTCGCCATAGACTATAGATGTTCACTAGACCTCTGCCTCCGCTTTTTCTAGGAAGATAAAGCCTTTTTACCGATGAATTTGTGTGCAAGCATCGGAATTTTGTCATCAGACGGCGGGTTAGTCTGTCTAATTCATTAAGGTCCGATTCGGACAATTTCAATATCCCAAAAGTGTACGTGACTACAGGAATAGCCCAGGAATTGATACCTGTGACCTGATTCTTGACTGACAGTTTGGTGTTTAATACTTTGGTAATCCTGCTCTTGTATTTTTCGGTAAATACTTTTTTTCAATTGGGAGTGGTCAAGTCGTAGGTTTTGAGTTATCCTTAAATATTTATATGTTTCATGAGGTGGTAGCTCATCAATATCCCGATACGGGTCCTTCGCATCTGCAACACCCCCTCTGTTAATCTTGATAATGGCACATTTGTCCAGCCCTAAAGACATACAGATGTCTTGTGAGAAAGTCCTCACTGTTTCAATCAGCGCTTGGAGTTCCGTTCAGCTCTCACTGTAGAGCTTCAGATCGTCCATATACAGCAAATGGGATAGCTTTTGTCTTTCTCTATTGTTGATTTTATATCCAATGCCGGAGTCATTCAGAAGGGTTGACAGTGGCTTCATCACTAAGCAGAACCACAACGGTGATAAAGTGTCACCCTGAAATATACCTCTAGTTATGTTTACTTTTCCAGCGCTGTTATTGTTTAGCAAAATGTTGGACTTCCATGTACCCATCATGTGTTTAAGCACTTTTATGAGCCAATTATGATGGACTGAGTCGAAAGCTTTGCTGTAGTCAATGTAACATATATTTAAGTTCCTTTTTCTAGTTTGAACCTGTTTTAGGACTACAGCGTCAATGGTTAATTGATGTTTACATACAATTGATCCTCGGATACAGCCTTTTTGCTCCTCCTATAGGATTCCGTTTGTTGTGCAGTGTTCATATATCTTGTTGTTAATTATGGAGGTAAACAATTTGTATATCACCGATAAACAGGTTATCGGGCGGTAGTTATTTGGTTTGGTAGGGTTGCCCTTCTTAAATATCATATAGGTATTCCCCTCAGTGAGAAAACTAGGAAACTTTAGTGGATCGTCCAGCACGTCCGTAAAACACTGAGTCAGGCTCGGAAAACAGACCGGAAAATATTTTATCCAGAAGTTATGCATTCTGTCTGATTCCGGAGACTTCCAGTTACTGGTCTTTCGGATAGTGGAAGCAATATCCTCGGCTGTTATATGATCCAAAGTCATATCATTAATTGGCAGAGCTCATTATATCTTCGAAGTCTGGCACCCTTGGCCTTTTGCTTGTTGTCTAAATCGGTCTTTCAGTTCTAAAAGTCTTTGTTGATGTTGTGCTGAGCGAAGGTTTATCCCAGCTGCATTGGAAATGACTGCAATTTTCTAGATTGATTATTTTTTAAGTATTCATCTATTATATCAGCTTTTCCTCTGAGTCTGTCTACATCCAATTCTAGTCGCTTTCGCCCAGCTGGTGGTTTATTATTAATTTGGGCTCTAGTCGTTGGTACGTACGTCCTTTGTCCGTTCAGCTCGATGACAGTGATAGCTGCACAGTATATTGCCAGGTGGGTTTCCTCCAGAGTGCGAGGTGAAGACAGATATTCGCCCACTGCTGCGTTGGTTAGAGCTATCTTCTCCTTAGCCTTGTCAATTTTCCTGAGTATAGGTATTACTGGACGAATTAGAGGGTCAGTAGCTTCATAGTAAGACAAAAGGCTATTAAATTTATCCGATATTTGTCGATATTTTAGGTTTGCTTGGGGTTTCTTGTCTTCATCCGACATGTGCATTAGTTCCGTCTGGTGTTGCTCAATGTTGTTCTGAAGGACCTCTTCCTGATGCATGATGTTGCCAATCTCGCGTCTAATAGTCTCTAACTCTACTTTTGTAAGGTATGATTTTCTTATGATGACATTTTTCCTGTCAGCTAAGTTTTGTTCTGTTAGTTGTAGTTCCGGGTGTCGTTTTGTCGAGAATTCGGCAAGGAGTGAGTGTCTCCATCCTGGAAGTGGGTTATCATCACACCGGTAGGTAGAGTGGCATTACTTTCTTCTGCCATATCGTTGTGTTCGACTTCTTGTTGTTGTTGGGCTTTAGTTTGTTGTTCGACAGGGGCCCGCCTCCTCAGCACCGACGGATCGTATGCTGTCATATCCAGCGTCGGCACCAGATACGCCCTGGCGCTCCCCAGGCAACGGCATTTCTCCGAGGCTTGTATTGTCCATTTTCATGGGTGACAGTGACGCGTGACTTTACTTTTATTTTATTATTATTATTATTATTACTATTCACATTTTTATTAATAGTTTGAAGATAAATTTTGCAAAATATTCGAAAAGGAATGCAATTTGACTATAATGACAACTAGTGCTGCTGCGGGAGGCTCATAATAATATTTCTTATAAGGTTGCGATTATTTTTTCAAAGAAACTTCTACAGGCTACTGTAATACTATTTAAAAATCTTCTGGATTCCACCTGCGTCGATTTGTTGATAAATCGAACGCGCTGATTTATCCTCCTGTTGGCTTCTTCAGAGCTTAACTGAATCTGAAGGAGCGCTGAAGAAGCCAACAGAATAATTGGCGAAACCTCACCAAGTTCGATACATCAACATACATCATAAATACTTCTTAAGACGGTATGTCTATACTTCCAAAAAATGATTGTACAAAAAATAAGATTGTTAAAATCAAAATAAAAATTATGATATTTTATACGGGGTGCAAGAAGTTTCTATTATATATGTCGCGATTATTTTTGTGTAGAAACGGTAAAAAAAAGCTCTGGTAGTCCGGACCATCGTTGCAAGTGGTTACAAAATAATTTTATGAAAGATTTTTTTTCAAAAATATATATAAAAAATACATATATAAAAAAAATAACACGAAGCAGGTAACAAATATCAGCTACGTTTTTTAAACAATGATTGAAAATAAAAGGTGAAGCGTCTTAATCTGTTGCTTTTTGACGAATATAAATTTAATAACGTTTAAGTTATTAAATTAAATATTAAACCTTTGTACGCTTTCTTTGTTTGCCCGCTATTTTTTAATCCGAAGAAATCGATATAGGCCTTGTCTTCTTACAGACACTTCAAATGTTTGCTTTTCGTTAGAATGAATCAATCGAGCCCCACATTGGTGAAGGGATCCATGACGGAGTACTTTTTATATTTATTAATATCCCCATAAATGAAAGTGTATGACTATAAAATAACATATTATTTATCAATGTAAATTTTCTTTAGTCCGTCCTGGTTCAATTTCTGATAATCTCATATACCAGTAAATATAAGAAATTGCTTAATAAGTAAGAACATGAGATCAAAGGCATTTATAACACAAAAAGAACAGGGGGGTAGTTTGAGCCCTTTATTATTCATAACTTATATGGACGATCTAAGTAGAATGGCAGAACAGCGATCAAAAAATCTTTACGTTGGATACTGACATCTAGAGCGTATTAACATATCGGAATGTGTCTTCGCCGATGATATAACGATCATCGATCAACGATCAAAATCTAAATAATTGGGATCAGTTACTAACAAAAAACGGAATGAAAATGAACATAAATAAAACCAAAGTTAAGGCAGTGTCAAACGGAAAAGAGAAATTAGAGGTGAGAATACGTGGGACACTAGTAGAACTAGTTAGTAGCTTCCAGTACTTGGGAATTATGTTCGAAGAAACAGGAGGACAGGACACAGAATTAAATAATATAATAGAAAAGGCAAATAAGGTATAATATGCATTGAGTAAGGGACTCATAAATAAAAGGAAATTTCTAAGGAAACTAAAATGAAACAAGAATTCATTGAAAAGAAACAACTTGGCTGGTGGGGTCATTTACAGAGGTTGGGCAGCACTGTACCATTTAAAAGAGTTTGGCAGAATAAAATGCAGGGAAAACGGAAAAGAGGAAGACCCAGAGAAACGTGGGCACATTGGGAAAGATTTTGAAAAAGAGGGGAGGAACATTGCTAGAAGCTAAAAACTTGGCACTAAATAGAAAAGACTAGAAACTTTTTATCGATAGTTAAATTGTACGCAGAAATGTCACCTTTACATCCTACGGGTAGAAAGGGACTAGATTATAGATAGACCAGTAAATATGTCTTTTTAATAATAGTTGCGATTACTTAGGTAATGTAGTAGCCCTCGAAAAAAGCGTAATAGTTGACTTTTTCTAATCTTTTTAAAATTTAGAACCAGTGAGAGTAATAAAAGTACCACTAACAAATTTGACGTTAAAAGCTGCGAAATAAAAAAAAGGGAAACTGTAGTTCTTGCTTTCCTGGCTGCTTTTTGTGTTTTTCCTTTTTTGCCGATAGAATAAATTAAAACTCGCCAACTAAGTAATGCACGTATATTTTAAAACAACTAGATCGTTACATTTATTTAGCCCAATGTTTGTATTCGATTTGTACAATTATCTATATTGCCTATATACATTTATATCTACAAAACAACGTGTGAATAATATTTAAACAATATTTTTGTCGCTTTTGTTGGACGATAACGAACGTATATTGAATATTAAAACATTTTCATGTACGGCCTTTGAACGGGTACGGCACTGTGGTTGTGTAATCCCATGTTTTGTCCTCGGTCTTGCCTGTAACCCATGTCTTTAGATTCAAGGTGCCGCACTTTTTGGTTGTATATTTCCATTGCCTTCTTAAGGTTTGCGTCTTCTTGAGAAGCTCTTTCTTCGTCGAACTCAAGACATCCAGAACCATCCAATCGTTTAAGGTCTATCCAACCACGCCATCTGACGCTAACCCCGTTCATTATGAAAGACGATCTAATATGAACCTGAAAAAGAAAAATTTTTGTAAGAGGACTTTCGTGCTGTAGTAACACTTCTTTTAGATAACCCTAACCTTAACTAGCAAAAAATTATAGCTAGCTTCAAATTGTTTTCAGTCATTCAGCATTATAAGTCTATAGTCCTAGGGCAACAAAAAAAAAACAACAATTTTAATAACAAGAACACGTTTTTTAAGAATTCAGAACTAACCAAAACTAAACAAACTAATGTACAGAATTTGGATATTTCAATTTAATATCTTTATTTCATTTTTTTCCACTTTGTCCAATTTCTAAAAAGTATGTATATCTTTTCAAATTCCAAAGAAGTGTTCCTTCTTTGCCGAGTTTGTCTTTTTGTATTATTGATCTCACTGGAAATAAAGAAGATACTCCTAAAGTGTTAAGTGCACTACAACGCAGGAGACTCTTGGCTGGCCAATCTTCGAGCATGGTTTGGCAAGTCTTCCACACAACTGTTCTGGATTGCAATCAACAAAATTATCATAGCGAGAATAATCGCCAATGTTCGTAGCGGACAAGCACCTTAAGAAGAATTGTTGATCTACTGGCAGGTATTTTAATTTCTCCCAAGTGCCTCCTTGTTACTCAAACTGGCGCCAATTGTAATGCTGTTGATACGTTGTAACAGCTTTTTCAGTGTCCCACAAAAACACTAGTTGGTGTACAGGATGAAATGAAATTGTATGGCTAACTTTTAAACCATTAAAGATACGGGGTCGGTTAAATAGGATAAAATTTGTAAATGTTAGATGCAGACTGCTACTAAAATTAACTTTTCACAGGTGGATTAACAAATAATTTACAAAACCCGAAAACTTTAATTGTAATATTTCATTTAGTTTTCTGTTATACAACATTTGCAGGGTTCAAACTGATATTCTTCGGTATTCATTTGTTTTGTCTATAGACTGTCCCAATTGTAAACTGCTGTTATCAACATTGAGATTGTAAATAGAACACCCTGTACATTTTTAGATTATTTGTAAAAAACTGAGTTAATAATATAATTAGTACTTCATGTCTACTCATTTTCGGATTCTGAAATTTTCTCAACTTTGATGATATATTTTTTATAAAGAATCTAAAAATTCATCGTATTTTCTATTATATTTAGTCTTTATATTTTTAAAACACCTTAATAGTCCGTTCCTGATGCTATGTCATACAATACCCACAAGTCAGATATTTTATAGCCGTAGGCAATTTTCGATAATTGCCGTAAAAAATCAATACGACATACTTTAAAATACTTATATTTTTAGCATAGGTACTTCGATTACTTAGCTTTTCTGCTCTACATATATTGTTTCAATTTTTAGCAATGGTGTGCAATTCTTGCTTTCTTGACCTGCTAATTCAAACTGTGTCAAAAATGTTTCATCACAAATACAAACAACACGTGTAACGACGATTAGACAAAACTGAACGAAGGAACGTAATTTATAGACCGTTGACGTTATTTGTTACATCCGGAAGTGACCTACCGCGGTTAATTGTGCAGGGAATATTGTTGCCATGTGAGTAAACGCTTTTACAGTAAAGTTTTCATTAATTTTAAAAATTTTAATACAAGACAATTCTCACACATGGTTCGGAATTGTTACGATTTAGGCACCTTTTATTACTATAGTTAGAAATTGCATCCATTAAATATGTGTTTTATGGTCACGGCAAAACCAAAATGAAAGAAATTTTAATGTACGTTGTAAATGTATAAAATAACCAAAGCAGTATTTATTTCAAACCGTTTTTGTGATACTCTTAAGTTCTAATGCTACGTCTAATTATAAACATATTTTTCTGCCCCCTACTCTAAATTACCGGAATCATTTTTATACACGTAGTCAACTGTGTGAAAGTAACATCCGCTCCACTCGTGACCAAAGGGGCTTTTATACATAATATGTTATTATAGTTTATTTATTTATTTAAATAGTGATTTATCAGACCTCAGCAGAACAAATCAGAACAAACTATCCGTCATATGTGTAATGTAAGGGAGAATATAAAATGATTCACGGGACTTATTAATATTCTGCGGATATAATTGTTTAAAGAGATCCATAATTGATTAACAGCATTACCGGCACATGTAGCTAAGAGATTTCAAAGGTGACCTACACAAGTTCTCTGTCAAGGTCGAACGTACGCAATAAAAAACGAATGAGTAATGAATGGTATAGGAAAATCCCGTTTATTTTTGTTTTATTGGGTACTCCGATGGTAAGATATACACGTGTACGCAATGCTAATATGAGTGTGAAAGCATTTACGTGCTTGTTTTCCAACTCACTAAATAATTCCAGCAGATTGCTGGAACAGTATTACCATCTACAGGTACCACCGTTTCCGTCCAATTATCGTATGTGCGAGGAATATTCCTTTCGTTATGTAAGCAGGACTTTCCTAACTGGTGTAATTCACCAGCAAGATTCATTTTCTCAGAAGCTTACGTGACGATGGTATTTATTAAACAATAATGATAATTAAATTTGTTACTAAATGTACACAGTGTGACACGTTTAAATCGAATGCAACCTTTTAATTTCGAAATATTAATTGCATTTTCTATTTTCAATGCGAAGGAGTTTATTTTTTTAGTTTTCATTTAAATTAATTAGTTAATATTGAAGTTTTGTCAAAAATTGAACTGAGGTGGCTTTTACTTGATGAAAATCCATTTATCAAAATAAATAAGAACTAAAAGTTCAGATTTTCACGAAATTATATATTATAACACCGTGTCTTTATCAAATGTGTTGGTGTTGTCGAAACAATTGTCATGTCATAATATATAATTTCGTGAAAATCTGAACTTATAGTTCTTATTTATTTTGATAAATGGATTTTCATCAAGTAAAAGCCACCTCAGTTCAATTTTTGAAAGAAGCTGAAATTGGTTTCTTGGCTATTTGGTATTTTAAACATTTGATAAAGACACGGTGTTGTCGTAACAATTGTCATGTCATAATATATGATTTCGTGAAAATCTGAACTTTTAGTTCTTATTTATTTTGAAGTTTTGTCACCTGTAATATTCCCCATACAATATTTCATTCTTTTTCTGAAAGACTTAAGATGGGTAAAATTTTGCTTGTTATTGGAAATCTTGCTCATAAATCTAACGGCGCAGAAGTCGTCTTTAATATATTAACTTCGGGTCAAATAAATTTAATTACAAAATTTGGAGATCAACAAAAACATAGCGTCCAAATAGCCAACTATTTCTGCTACTTCGATTTGATGAAAAAGTCTATAACAGTATTGATTGATATTTTATTAAATCACTAAAAATATATTTAGAAATACCTACTGGAAAAAATTCCTATAAAATACGTAAAGATATAAAACAAATACATTAATCCTCCATCTTAATCTTAATCTTAAATCTTAAATAAATCTTCCTTATTATTTTTTCTTTAATATCAATTTTTCAGTTGAGGGTCTTTGTTGCTAAATTAAATATTTTGTCGAGCTCTAAAGTTGAAAGTGGAAACCAAAAATTAAATATTTATACACAATAATAATGCCAAAAAAAAGGTAAACACGAGAAGAAAAATTGCTGACATATTTCTGCCACTTTTTCCTCTTCACGAATGTGATTTCTCTTTTTGCCATAAATATTTCACTTATCTATTTTACCCTTTAGCCTAGAAGCATTATAGGTACCGATATTTATATAGTCATGCAAATCGTAAGTCACATTTCGACGTGAAGGGCTGTTAACTATATTAATTTTGACAGATCGAATAATAACAAATACACAAAGGTGCTTTGCGTGCGTCCCGCGGGGTTCTAAACGGGGTACCCCCTTCGACGACGGGTATCCCAGATGTCGCGCGAAAAAACTTAATAATGACATAATTTTCGCACGCCTTTTCTGTACGTGCAAGTTGGAAACATAAAATAATGTTACGATCGATCGCAAAGGGTTGCTGGAAATGAAAAGTGCCCCCACGGCGATCGGTCATGCCCACAGAGATATTTCGTTTTTGTTCTAAAACTCACCCTTACACACCGAAAACGAGTTGGCCCCACACGCCGAGAGGGCGTTCGAATGTGAATAATTGAATGATTGCCCGATGGGATATTTTTTGCCTTCCGTCGTGACATTATATAAAGAATTGCAAATATTCAATATCTATTTCTGCACAAGGTAGAGCAAAATCTACTTACATGCGCTTGGTTGTTAGTAAATAACGATATCTTCTTATCCGACGGAGATATACGAGTGTAACTCGAAAAGTTCCCTACCTAACAATGATTTCGAGATGTTTTATCTTAAAATTTGTTTTTTATTTTTCTATCTAGTCTCCTTGTAACTCTATACACTTCCCCTGGCGATGCTCCCATCTCTCTAGCCCGTCCAAATAGTACCCAGCGTTTTTCTCCGCAAAATAAATCTTCACGAAGGGGATCCCTTCCTCATTTGACGAAAATCTTTTTCCTCTGAACGCAGTATTCACATGAGCCGTTTGGAGCTAGATCTGGTGAGTAAGGCGGATGATCAAGCAGTTCAAACCGTAATTCATGTATTTTCGCCATGACAACAGCTGAGGTATGAGGTTGTATTGGTGAAACAGGATTTATTTTGAAAATGTGGCCGTTTTTCCGCAATTTCTGTCCTCAGCTTGTCAATTAATGATGCGTAGTATGCTCATGTAATAGTTTTTCCTTTTTGAAGATAATCGATTAAGATGACACCATAGCTATCCCAAAAAACGGTCGCCATCACTTTGCCAACCGAATAAACAGTTTTTGCTTGTTGATTGTTTTTTGATTCGGGAGTATAATGGTGTATCCAAGTTTCATCTACAGTAATTAATCCGCGCCAAAACTCGGATTTATTGAGCCTATGCAGCGCAAACAGAGCGTTGAAAACGTTCGTTCGGTTCTTTCCAACACGTTTCTGCTCTAACCTGAGTAAACTTGGCACCCAACGCTTTCTCATGCCTAAATCTTGAATCAAAATATGTCAAATA